TGATTGCTTTCATCGGTGGAGCCGCCATTCGTCACGCCTAGAATTTCGATGCAATCGGGACTTTGAAGTTCATAATACAGAGGTATGTCTGATATGTTTCGGATACTAAATTGAAATTTCACTCCAGACCATGAATTAGAATGTCCTATCCGGCCTACACTTAAATATGAGGTATTCAATTCTCCTTTGGGAACACAGAATGAGGCACTAAGGTCCACCAACTTTAACACTAAATTTTGGTTTTGATCTTCCAGGAAGAATATGCCTTTCATATTAACCTTTTTGCCATTTGCAATCTTCTTTATTTCATCTTGAGTTAATGAGTTGGGTTGAGGGCAACTAACATAAATATAAGCATTATTTTTTGGCTCTAATTCAAATATGGGGCCACATATTTTGAATGAACTATCATCATCTTTTAATTTTTCCGAGAGTGTTTTTAGTGTCTTCGAATCTCCAAAAAGACCCCATCGAGCTTTTACTTCCAGGTTACTGCGGGGAACTATTTTCAAGGTGTCAGATTCAGAGTTATTGCAAATTTTTATGCATTGTTCATATAACGGAATTTCCGTGGCTTGATATCCTTTTTGAATAATGACCTTTGGAACAGAATCTTTAATTTTTCCTCCCGCGTTTAACGAGTCGTCATCGGTAATTGCCACCGCAATGTTATCCCAGGAAATTAAAGGTAATTTCTCAAAGTCTTTTGAAATTTCCTCTACTGGAGGTGTCATTTCGATTTTGGTAGACTTAGATGAGGAGAACTCGTCTCGAATGCGGAAATCGAGAATGCGGTTATCGACAAATAGGTGAACCTCTATTTCAACAATTTGTTCGGCATTGTTTTTGTTTGTAATGATAATTTTGTCGCGGAAAAATCCAAATTTTGAAGATGTGACACGAAAATTAACAACGGTTGAGAATAAATTGTTCGAAGTTGCGTCTTCATCCTGGAACGTATGAGTATCATTATGCTTGGGAGATTCGCAAGGTTCAATTGATGAATCCCAGCCCTCAAGGGTTCCACCAGTACGATCCAATATTATATTACCACTAGGGCATTCCATCACATAGTCGAGTGGAAGACGAGTAGACAAGTTGTGAATGATAAAAGATCCATAGAAAGTATCGCCAATATTAGAAGTCGAACCAAGACTTATCAACTTGTCGGAAACCGAAAATACAGAACGACCTATGAGAGACGTGAATTTCACCGTCTGACTAGTGACAGTAATCAATTCTTCTGCACCATCTGAAATTGATAAGCGTTGAGGTTCCTTAACCTGAATCGAAAATTTTATGCCACCTATTAACACTCGACATTCATTATTCACGATCGCGTTACGGTCAACAATGCCTGAACTAATAATAGGATTTCCCACTGTATTTGACGTTCCACCACTCAAACCTGTGTTTCTAGTAAGTAGATTTGGTTGCAAAGCTACCCAAACGGTCATCATTGTTTTTTTCTTTAGCAAAGTCCCTATGACTTGTCCTTTTTCCCCGCTCTCATCCAAGAACACCGAAACTTGCAAAGAAAGGTTACTTTGGCAAGTTATGTAAACATC